ATAAATCCTGACAAATTAATCAATAAAAAAAATTATATGACAAAATTTTTTTCAAATATTGAAAAAAATGTCGTATCTTCCCCAACTAGCATTCATTGATTGTATAAATATTGGATATTATAAAAAATATTTTATATTACATAACATCGGCATAATAAGCTAATACGATATAATTTTATAATATATAAATCATTTTAATATCAGATTTTTTTTAAAAAAAAATATACATAATTTGTTACATATTATATTATTTTTATTTTAATTTTAATAGTTATATAAAAAATGAATATTAAAATATTTAAATCCCTGGTGTAACTAAAATAATAATTAGATGGTTATACATACATAAAAGGAAGAGCTATTTTTTTTAATGCTAATAAATATTTATATGCCTCTTTTTTTAATAATATTTTTAAAAAAATCCAAATTAAATAATGAATGAACAATAAAAATAGGAAATTTAGAAATGATTTGTTCAGAGAATAACAATAGATATAGTATAAATGATAGTTTAAAATGCAAAGTTTAAGATTGTTGCGATGCGATACTAATAAAAATACGGGCATAACATTAGAATCTTCATCTGAAGATGGTTTCTTAGAAATTTTCTTCGAGATTTTCGCTTTCTTTCTTTCTTTCTTTAAAAAACCTTTGTGTTATCTACGAGCAATTAGGTTTGCATAATATTTTTTCTGATTAACCCTTTTTAAAAATCGATTCAAATCGAGTAGTTTAACCACTAATTAGAAACTTCAGTCAATATTGGACATATTATAGTTAATTAAAACGAATATTTTTTAAACTATTGATTAAATCAGAATAATCTCTAGTTCCCTAATTGCAGTGTCGGCTACTTCGAGTGAGTGTGCGAAGAGATATTTTTCAACAATAAAATTTATAATTTTCTCTATATATAGATGTAAATTATTGAAGCAAATATTGGGAAATATTTTAAATACCATTAAAATAAAATAAAGAGCCAACCAAACCAAACCAATAAAATAATTTTTAAATGGTGGGGGCAGGTTAGGCACAATTTTCGGGCAAATGAACAGGCGGGTAAATTGAAAAACTATAGGCGGACGCGGACGCAGACTTACTCATTACCATTTTTTAAAGATTAAATATTGTTCAATATTGCACTTGATAAATGATGTTTATTTGTTATAATTTATAAATTATAGATATTATTTATATAATGCCAAATTAATATTAAAATAAACGTTTTATAGAGAAGGAAGGAAAGAAAGAAAGGAAAGAAAGAAAGAAAGAAAGGAAAGAAAAGAAAGAAAGAAAGAAAGAAAGAAAGAAAGAAAGAAAGAAAGAAAGAAAGAAAGAAAGAAAGAAAGAAAGAAAGAAAGAAAGAAAGAAAGAAAGAAAGAAAGAAAGAAAGTACTTTTTAATCATGAAATATAAAAAGATGAGCTTCAAAATAACTGATTTAATATTTTATGTTCCCTTGTTGGTTGGTATACTGGGAAATCTCTGCGGATATTAATTATTTTTAAAATTTCTTATATACAATATTGTCTAATTTTAAATGTAAGTTTTTCTTTTTAAATTTAATTTCTTTTTTTTTAAAATTAAAACTATTTATGAAATGACATATATAAAAAAAACACTAATAAATTAAGACACCTAAAAAGAAAGTATATTTAATTAAAGATTTAATAATATGTTCCCAAAAAGGAACTTAAATATATCGAAAAATTTTGATTCGAATTTTTTGAATAATGTATAAAAATTCATTGGATTGCTTGGTAAAATCTTGAATTTCGCCACTTATTTTTAAAAAAAATTAAATGTTATTAGCAAAAAGAGCTGATAATGGATATCATGTAACTATAGGAATGAAAAGAAAATTATTAAGTTCATAATATTTTTTTTAAATTTTAATCAGATAATTAATTTAAAAAATAATATATTCTATATTTAAAATACGACATTTATTTAACTATTACAGTATTGAAGAATTGTTAGTAATATTTGAGAATAAAGATTATCAAACGATATATCTAGTCATTGAAATCCTAGTGAGAAGGCTAGTGGAGATGAAAATCGAGGTAGTATAATAAATAAACTTAGTGGAAGTCAGTGAAAACCAGTCAACCATGGAGCTTGAATCCCCGGAGAGAAAGAATGAAATAGACAATATAATCTAAAAATAAAATAAAACCACCAAGGGGAGACCGGGGTTATATGGCTGGTGTTTTGTCCTTTTTGCAACATAATTTGCTCTTTATTTTTTTTTAAATTAAACTAATTATATAATTGGATAGCCATCATTAGACATTTTAAAATAAAATATGGGGCTTTCAGCTTTCTACACTGTGAGCGCTACTTAGGATTAAGACAAATTCGCCTTTTTACTATTTGCCAATGGCCATGGGTATGCTATAAAACCTCTCGAGGTAGATGGCAAATTCGAAATTTAACCAACATAACACACAAATTTATTCATATCAATAAATAATTTTAAAAAAAATTACCAATGTCTTCAGAATAAAGATTACGTATAACATAGATAATTCCTGTCGCAAATGGAATGTACCTATTCTCGTTAAACTACTCGTTTTGAGCAGATCCATAAATAGGGCTAATTCAATATCTTAGCTTAGAAAAATATTGCTCTAAGGCTAGAGATTTCGCTACTAGATGTATAGACCTTTGTGCCTTCCAGGAGCCAAAATCTTCAGTGGCCGTCTTGAAAAATCGGCTCAGATCGAGCCTTTTAACAACACATACCCATTCAGGGCAATTAGTGCATTATATCGAATCTTCGCGCTTTTACTGAATTATTATACTAACTCCCAAAAATAATTTAACACCCCCCCCCCCCCACGAAAAAAAATGGAAATCTAGCTTCCGTCCTCCCAAAGTTTAAAAATTATTTATTTATTTCGAGGTGGCGACCTAAGTATATTTTTACAAAAATTTCAAAATTTATAAAATTTCCTAACTTTCGTAAAATTATGAAATATCACCAAATTCCTTTTAATATTTCTGTCCATTTTTTTTCTATAATTTGAAAAATTTAAATCAACATTACTTAGTCTTTATTATTCGTAAAAAATTTCACAACTTTATAAATTTTATGAATTTCTAGAATTATAAAAAAATTAATAAAGTGACCACTATCTTATTTTTACATTAAAAACAGCTTATTTTATTAATTTTTTTCGTTAAAGTTAATTAATTATATTTTTGATATTTAGGTCACTGCTCAATAATGTATTATATTTTTACAATTATAAAATACGCAATATAATGAAATAAACAAATAATTAAAAAAAATATATAAATCCAGTCTGCTCATTTCACCCAAAAGTATTCCAAATCCATATAATCTGCCTTTCACAGACCGTGATACCATCATATCCTACCTTCTCCCTCCACATTTCCTCCTATCTTACCTCTATTCCTGATATATCTAAATGATGATCCTTTAAGTAACCAACTATTATCTTGATTAGATAGCGAGATGGCTATAGACTCATGATTGTACTGAGCATAGGCCTATCCAGAGTTTTTTTTAGGAGTAATATAGCTGATTTTTACGAAAATTCTTTTCTATAGTGAAATATTGTATACATTTTTGGGGCTAAGGGAAGTGGAGGGTGTGCTTGGATTTTTTTATTATTAGTTTAAAATGTTATTTATAAGAACATTCAAATTTGCTATGGGGGGATTCTCACCCCTTCATGTCTGGTTTAGAAACATACATCAGGGTTTGGGGTTACACCTAGAATAACCTACTTCTAAATGGTTTTAACCGAAGAACGATCATTACAAATATAACTAAAAATATCAAGGCTCAGTGAATAGATTTACCAGGCAGATAACTACTCACTCAAAATATTTCGCCGAGTAGTTAGCCGAGTAAAATTTTGGTTTTATAATTATCGTCTTACCCCTTGCTGCCAGTGGTAGTGAGTTAGCTTAGGCTAGAAACTCCGGATTGAGTTTACAGCCAGACATTGAGGTAATATAAATTTTATAAAGTTCAAATGACTAATTTTATCTCGAAACAATTAAAACCAAATAAAAAAAAAGTGAAAAAGGGCCAAAAAAATTTTGTTTTTAATCAATATTTATTGAAGGCGCAACTCCAAGTACTAAATAAACATATGGTAGATAGTAGTAGATAGTGTGCATAGAAATTCATTTCCCGACCAAATTTGAAACAATTAACCCTATAGATAAAAAATTTATATACGTTTGCCTTTTTATCCTACCATGGTTTCCTCTATATACAAACTCTACTAATACAGATTGTTTAATTCCAACAATATCGCCAATTCTCTCAGAAACAATAAATGTATCTTATATGGTATAATATACTACTCAATTATATTTTACTTCTTGATATATTGAAAGTACCAAGGGGTTGCTAAAATCTTCAAATGTATTAGAGCATAGAGTGTCAAAGAATGTAAGATACGACTGGATGAATCATTGGATTATTAGTTTCAGAGAACCGAATCAATTTAAATTATATACAAAAAATACACGGAAGTCATGCAAAAAATGTGATATGAATCTTCGAATTTGTTTTAAAATTATATCATATTATTATTGATAAATATATAATTTAAAATTAATACCCTCTTTTAACATGTTTAAGTTTCCCATTTTTTCATATAGGAACAACAATTTTCGAGAGAACTGAGAGATTTAAAAATGAAATACTCATTTCTTTATTTAAATAAAACGAATAAAAATTATTAAAATTATTTAAAAATTCAAAATAAAAATTTGAATTTAGCGCAAAGAGTGTTAATAAGTGAAAATTGCATTCCAATTTGGTTTCAAAAAAGAGCTAATCAGAAAACATTAAATTTGAATAGTTATGATTGGCCAGTTTTTAAATTTAAAAACTTTAAGAAAGATATATTTAAAGATTTTCTGCAAAAACGGCAAATTTCAATTTAAAGTTATATTTTTAAAAAAGTCATTTTAATAATATCAAAAAATAAATTAAAATTGAATAATCGGTATACCTATGGTTGATCGAAGATGACGTTTGAACGACATGAATTTCTAATCGAATCTCCAAAGAATTATTGATTTCGAATAAAAATCTGAACGATTTTGACACTAATATCTTACAATAAATTAGCGAAAAAGAAAAAAAAATTTACATTTTTTTTGATATCATAATAGAAATTTTTTTTTAAAAAAATCAGAAAATTTCTAAATATTCTCTAAGAATTTTGTGACAAATATTTTATTTTAAAATCAATATTGTTGGTTAAAAAAAGATTTATTTTTTAAAAAATGGATATTTCGTATAAATTGTTTAATTTTTGGTATTTTTTAAAAAATTTTTTATAAAATAATTACGATACAAAAAAAAATTTAAAAGATATTTTTAAAAACTTATTTTCCCAATTTAATTGTTTTTATTTTTACTACTAAAAAAAACAACAACAACTTGTGAAGATAAATAATGATGATAATAAATAATCAACAATAAACAAATATATTTTTTTTTTAAGATGCTAACGATATTGTGTTGTCCTAAATCAAAAATAAATCACGAAATAAATAGTTTGACACTTTTGAGGTTATTGGCTGTTATCCATTTAATCCACCAAGCAGCAAAAGTCCCTAAAGTCTAAATTATCGGGAGTTCCTCAAGTGTGTTGTTTTAGGTGCTTGGATGGAGAAGAGGGGGAAAAAAACTCTCCGTAAAGTTTAAAAAAATTACAGATGTAGTCTCAAATATTTTTAGAAAAATATATTACTTATTCCCACCACCAATAAGCATTATATTGAAACTTAGGTAAATTATGGCAAATGTAGATAACGAATTCCATAAATTACATGTCATTGTTGAGTCAAAAGCAGATCAATAGGAATTTAATAGGGCTGCTAACTCGACTTTCAGCAGGGCAAGTCCATCGTTCCAATATTAATCAAAGGGCCAATCTAAGAATACTATATAATAAATTACTTAATCTCTCTTGGATAAATTTTTATAACTTGAATGAATGATAGATTCTTGATGAATCAGGCGCCATTTTAAAAATCTTCAAGAATACTTCGAATCTATTTCAAATCTTGAAAGATTTCGCAGGTTTTTGTTGTGAAGAGGTTAGAGTTATCGATGATGCATTACTAGCTGAATGCAACAAACTATGGTATAAGAGGCTGCTATAGATGCGTCTCATAATTTTAAACTTATTTTAGATTACTTTCCCTAATATATATAAATTATTATATATTTATGGCGACTCTACCTAACCATCGATAGATTTCCTTCTTTAACAAGAATAAAAATAAAGTAGAGAAGTAGTATCTTTAAAAGGGCTCAATTTGAGCCGAGTTAATTAGAGCTGAATTTCTTATCAAGAGCCTAACCAGCAAAGCCTTTATTTGAAGCAAAATCCAGATTGGCCACAAAGAATCAAATCAGTATTGTAGTTTGGGGCAAAAAGAACGTAATTACAATCCTACTCAAGATTGATTAGGAGTCAAATATGTAGTGTCCCTTGGAGAAAATTTAGCATGTCATTAAGAGGATCGCCCGTTTTGTTAAATACCTAATTTCGAACGGGCCCTTTGAAGGCAATCCCGATAATATTAAATGCAAACTCAGGTTATGAGTGGCTGGAAGCCATCCTAAATTCCAATCTTGGCCTCCCCTCCCTGGACTAATGGTCTCCCTACTTGCAACTATACTTGTGAAGATTTTGCAACAAAGTCCAACCACTCAACTTCTGCAATCAAAAGGGCAGAAATCCTTAAAAAATAAATAAATATAAGCTTGCCTCACCAACACTGTGTTCATCCCAATCGTTACCAATACTTTAGGCATGTTCGGAAGTGACTTTCTCAACTTCATTAAAACCATAGGGAAAAAAATGAGACAGATCTCAGGGGATACCAATGAAGGGTTTTTACCTTTTATTAAGTATTTACTCTTTTCTAGGGTGATATGTACCTCTTTTTAATATTATTATTTTTTTTAAAAAATTCTTTTTTAATGTTTTTCTCTATAGAATATATATTTAATTTTTATTACATCTTTATTTGTTTTTTTTATTTAAAATATAATTTTTAATTCAATATTGTTCGTAATTTGTGTTTAATCCTTTTGTCAAAGTTTTTTATGATGAAAAAAAACTAAAAAAAAAATTAAATTTTTATAAAAGTTCTAACACTCTTTCATAATTTGAGAAAGTTTATGTTTATGAATATTTATTATACCCTAGAAATCGTGTTTGGTAAATTTAGAGCTAGTGGGGTTTGCTAAACTGAACAAGTCAATCCATATGAATAATTTTTGTTTTTAGTAATTATTACATAATTCGATATGGTGCTAATACAAATACAAATCCAATATTACAAAAGGCCAATCATCTTGTATTAATGATATGTATACTAAAATTATAATGTAATTGACTATTTAGGTATACTAATGAGGCTTGCAAATAAAACAAAGATCACTAGCCAACTTATGGGTATATCTGTCTGATATAATCACTATGTAATTTTTAAACAATATAATCAAATGTTAGCAACCTTTAATAATAGAGATTTGTAAATAAAAATCTATATAAATGGTAATGAATAAAGAAATTTTAATAATATTTTTATATTATTTTTAAATAATATTTGTAAAATTTTACATGTTTTTATATTTTAATTGATTAAAATTATGATGAATTATAATATTATTGAATTAGTATTTAAGTCATATTTTATTTGGCATTTTTAGGTATTCATAGATTAAATTTTACGAGATATTACAAGAGTTATCAAGAAATTGTCACACTTGCTTACTGGTGTAGGCCGAAATAATAAAAAGAGAATATTCCCATATGAAGAAGATAATGATCTCATCCAAGCTAGCCAAATTTTTTTATGGTCTTTCAATTAAAAAGGAAATTAAATTTCAAGAATATGATTATATTCTTAAATTTTTTTTATAAGACACCTTTATAATAATTATCAATTCATATATTGTTCTTCACAATATCTAAAAAAGCATAGGGCTATAGCCGATTTTGCAATAATCGGTTTGACTAGCACCAGTTTTCCCTACTATACGTTTTATTATAATCAAAATTTGAATTTTATAAGATAATATTTAATAATTTAGGGCTAAATTGGAATCATATGAATATATTTAAGCATAGGGTTTTATTTTAGTCATATATTTCAAATCTTGATTTTATATATTCAAATAAATAGAAATCAAATTGTCAAAATTATAATATGATGGACTATCAATCTGGCAATCATGCTAAAATATTTTTTTCATTCTCAAAACGATATACTTTTATATTAAAAAGAAATGAGTAATTAAAAATGTTAGTTATGGTTGGATGCTTTATAAAACGATATATTTGGCAAATTATCCTTATTATTATCGATACTTTTTTATCATAAGTCATTTAGACACTTTTAATGACTGCCGAGTATGCCCTATGAAGTCAGGTAAATTTTTGTCCAGCCCCAGAGACCTTCATAGGGCAGGCCGGGTATGGTCCTTATGATTTATTTTCTAGCGGGCCTGAACCGGGCTTGAGTTCTTTGGAAATTTTTTGCAATATGGCTTGGGTCGGGCTTGGGCCTAAATTTTATTTTTCAAATTTAGCTTATTTTAAGGATATTTTATAGGACAAATATAATCTAATTTTATTAGTGTTACTTATCACATTTCCTAGACACCTTGGGAGAGTGTTATTTTGTTTTTTTTCTTTTGCAAATTGGTTTACTTATTCTTCGCCGTATTTAATATAATTATTAACAAAATTATTACAGATACGCTTGGGGCTTAAAATATATTAAGCTTATCCTGACAAGATGACCTATAGCATAATTTTCTATTCTGATGACACAGTAATTATCACTAAATCTATGGAAGAAACCTCAAAAATCTTAGATATACTGAAATCATATAGTGTGGAAATTGGGCTTCAACTTAAGTAAGACTGTTATTATGCCTTCTCTATGGGCGGAGATAGGTTCAATTTACTCCATAGAATTGTTAGGAATAAGATTGGTATCAAATACCTTGGGGTTAATCTTGATAATAAAGGTCACATAAAAAATGAGGTAGAAATGAGATTGAAGCACGTAAAGACTGTTTCTACAAATATCTCAAACTATGAACGGCTAGAGAATTATCGGCAAAGAGTAGAAATCAGATGTTTAATTCAATGATCATCCCCATTCTTCTGTACAGAAGTTATTGGGATATTAATAAAACACACACTAAAACTTCAGGTTTTTGTTAATAGATGTCTGAGGCTTATAAACGGCTGCATATATACCCTATATCAAAAGTTGGTTTATGGAGATTATCAAAACATACTCCAGAATCAGTGCAACTAAAGAAAAGAAGAATTCAGTTATTCGCGCATATATTGAGGAATTCGGAAAATAACCTGGCGTATGAAGGCCTTAGTTGGCTTCCAATATATAAGAAGAAAAGATGCTATATCTAAAAGACTTGCTGGCTAAACAGAACTATATTAGACATTCTAAACATGAAAATAAGCCTAACTCAGTTCACTCACTTAAATAATAAGAAAGGCTCCATTAATAAATTATTTAAAATGAAAACCGATTATATTATTGGGTCCGGATGGTTTCCTTACATAAATATTTCTTCCTTTTGGTGGTTTAATCATTCTATTTCTCCTCTTCTATTATTTCAATTTTCAATTTTCAGAGTTTGCAACATATACTATTTGCACCTAAACCAAACCTTTTATACTCGTTTAGATGGTAATTAAATTTTATATTCCTCTACTAAAGTTTTTGAATATATATTAATGAATACAAATTTCCTATTATTCTTATCAAACGTTATTCATTTACATGGGCCGAGTCCATATATTCTCGTAGCCAGTCTTATGCACACTTGATTTTTTTATCTCTATCTTTTAAGAGAGATTTTAAGTAGAGATATAAATAAGTGTAAGTAAATAAGTGATAAGTCTTATCTTATGTACACTTAATTTTGTTTTCTTTATCTTGAGAGATTTTAAGGAGAGATAATGAGATAATAACAAATGATAGTATTGTGTATATACTGGTATTTATTTTATTTAATCATATTCATTTTTAGGTTTTTTCGCAATACTAATTGTTACCACTCCTTATATAGGATTGTAATTTATTTATCGAAGCTAGTGGGAGAG